TTGCCACGTGGCAATTGGCCACTGAGGTTCTTATTTTTCACTGGGTTTGGAGTAGAGGGGGTCCCTTTTGAAATGTGGTAACCGGCAAACCATGAAAGCCTGAGCTCTTAAAGTGACGGCATCACTGCTGGACAGCTCCGTTCATCTGATCCAACATCAACTCCGGACAGTTCGACCAATTGTTGCAGAGACTTTTTTCCAGTGAACTTATCAGAGCTCATAACTTAACTGGGAGATAAAATATATTCAACCTTTTTCGCTGATGTGACTGCACAGATTGGCTCCTTAACTGAAGAAGCATTAGAGATTAAATTCTTTTTTAATATTAGAAAGCTTGATCAATGTAAACTCAAACTGAGGTGATGTACAGTGGCTCGCAAAAGTCATCAATCTTTGAACTTTTCCAAATGCTGTCCTATTAAATCGACAAACAAATAAATGTTATTGGAATCTTGTGTGAAAAAAAAAACAAAAACAGAGTGGTGGACAAATTAAAGTGGAAAGAAAATCCTAAATGATAAAAAAAACATTATAAAAATAAAAAAAACAAAAGGTTTTGTGAGCTTAAGTGTTAAAACTGCCCCCCATTGGTTGCCTGATGATTGTTAATTATTAAAGTTTTAACAACTTTTATCTCTCTCACACACAGTAACAAAACCTCTATCTGCTATCCATATTATTAACTGCTCAGAAAGGAATGTTAGGAAATATCAGCTAACATGCTTCTTGGACAGGTCGATTCAATACAAAAACAAGAGATCAACCACCAAACTCTATTATATGAATCACCAATAGTTATTAAAGAGTCCCTAATAGGTTATAAACTAGCTTACATCAGGTTCTAAGATCCCAAACTGAAATGGGCCACTTCCATCAAAACCACCAAGAACCTCTCTTTGACTCCAAAAAAAAAAACATTAAACAAACATTTGCAACAGCAATAAAAGTATTTCTCCACGCAATGCCTGGTCTAAGTAAAAGTAAGACTTTCACTGTGCCTTTGCAAAGCCCAGGCTGAATCTTTTATGGGAAATCCTAGAGAGGTGAGAACCAGATGGGGATAACACCAGAGTACCGGCTCCCATCATTCATCATCATCACAGCTCCCGAGAAATCGAAAACAGGCCCCAAAGAAACACACGTCCAGACACTCATAGATGAAAAGGAGGCAAACGTCCAATTAGATGGCTGGAAAACAGATTTCTTCCTGTCATGCCAACAGTACAAAAAGGAGAAAAAAGCATGGAAAAGATGACAGAAGGTATCAAAAGCTTGTAGAGCGGGTTGATATGAGAAGTAAAATATCATCTCTTTGCCAGTTTATTAGAGGAAAACTTTATTTCAAACAACAAACTGTCATATGATTCAGTTCACCTCTGATTCGCTTTAATCTACCTCATTTATTTAGATGAAAGCTACAAGCGAAAAAGTTAGGTGGAGATGTAAACAAAAAATTGTGCTTGTCTCCTTCAGTTACAGCTGATGCTTTTAATAAGCTGAATCATTTACACGTTTATAAAGGGCATGATGTGTTTTAGTGGAATAATTCATGAGATATTCACCACTCCTACCTGATCAGAGACTCCAATATGAGAGGAGAGGGACCTTTCTGAAACTCCAGCTCTTTGTAGTGCAGCGCCTTGGCATAGGCACGACATTTGGCAGCTCTCTCTCCAAGCAGAACGATGCCATTATCGTCTCTGAGAGGCAGAGGGCCCTGGAAAAGGAAACGGAGCCGCATAAAATAACCAAACCTTTCTTTTTTCCGAAACGAAAACACAACCGGGTAAAAATACATAAGTCATTTTTAATTTAACCTCCACGTGGCAATTAGCCACTGAGGTTCTTATTTTTCACTGGGTTTGGAGTAGCAGGGGTCCCTTTTGAAATGTGGTAACCGGCAAACCATGAAAGCCTGAGCTCTTAAAGTGACGGCATCACTGCTGGACAGCTGCGTTCATCCGATCTGTCGTCAACTCTAACAGTTCGACCAATTGTTGCAGAGACTTTTTTCCAGTGAACTTATCAGAGCTCATAAGTTAGCTGGAAGATAAAATATATTAAACCTTTTTTGCTGAAGCATCAGGGATCAAATTCATTTTTATTATTAGAAAGCTTGATTGATGTAAACTCAAACTGGGGTGATGTACAGTGGCTCGCAAAAGTAATCAATCCCTTTGAAACAACAAATACATTTTATTGGAATCTAGTGTGAAAAGAACAGACAAAAAAGTGGTAGAGAAATAAAAGTGTAATGAAAATCAGACATGATTCAAAACATTATAAAAAACCGGAAAGATTTTGTGAGCTTAAGTATATTAACTGCCCCCATTGGTTGCCTGATGATTACTAACGATTTAATAGAGTCCAACTGTGTGCACCGTCCTCACAGGGGGAGCAAACAGCATCATGAACACACCAGACAGGTAGCGGTATTCAATTAACCATCCAGAAATGGAAAGAGTATGGCATATGCTGGAGAAGATTCTCAGTCATCCAGGTCATAGTCATTCAAAAATACAAAAAACAACATAAAAAAAAAAAATCAACTTTGTTTCCAAGTTTGAAGACATTTCGCTTCCCATCCAGGAAGCTTTTTCAATTCAAAATGTCAGGAATAGTGTTGAGTTTGAGGTTTTATACAGTAGCTCAACAAAGCCTTGTTTTTGTTATAAAAACATGCAAATTGAACAAACGAAGAGCTCCACCCCTTTGGTTTTGGGGTTGTTTGGCTTCTCTTGTTAGCCTGCAATGCCCCATACCTGTTTAAGTCTCTGAAAGGGGGGTCGTTACAGGGAATTGTTGGCCTGGCTGAATAGGTGAGGTCCTCGACTCTCCTGTACAGAGGCTGGGGCTGCGATGATAATGGGAAGGGTTTAACTCAATTGCTGAGTCCAGCCCCTCTGTTTAAGGTTGGTTTTTCTTTCTTAACATAGATGGCTTCCTTCATGCCCCTCTCAAACCATCTATTTTCTTTGTCCAAAGGTTTGTTAATTTATTTTCCTAATAAAGGTGAAGGTTTAAGATGGGCTTGTAGATCTGGAGTAAAAGCTTGTCCAAAGTTAATATAAACTATTAAATTTGTAGGGATGTTTGATTAATCCCTTCCTCCATTACTGCTCTGTGGTCTGTCCTAAACTGCAGCCTGTTTCCTTTTTATTACAGCCCTGAATGATGACGTAATGTTGACGTATGACAGCACTACACTTTGCTTCATTGGTTAATTAGCTTCAAACCAAATAGAAGTCACAAATTTTGTTTTTTTGTCAAACTTTTAAAAGTTCGCTTAAAACTCAGATTTCAGTTGGATGGAAACAAAAACGGCTTAAATGTATAAATCAGCAAAAGTTGATCACTGATGAAATGCAGCCTATTTTTTTAACTAAATGTAAATACAAAAGTTTGATTTAAATCGTCAAAAGGTTTGGGATTTAAAGTTTATTCTTTCTAAACTTAAGCTGCCATCAGGGCAGAACATCCTGACTGAAACGTCCCTAGAGGTCAAAACTCATGTATTCTAGAGGAAAAAACAAAAATAGCTTTTTAATTTTAACATGATGGGATGTGTGCCTTAATGTTATACCTCCACATGGCTAAAGTTCAGTTAGCTTGATTGAAATATGATTAAATATAATTTTTAAACCGCATTCCCAGAAGTGTCTCTGATTTTCTGTGCTTTGTTCTTCACCTTATCGCTGTGCTCCATGAACTCTGCTAAGTTCAGCAGCGTCTGAGTGACCTCAGCGATATCCTGGGATGTGAGAGCCAACTCGATGCTTCGGATGAGCTCATCCTGCTGATCTTCACTCAGCTCCGACCAACAGGACAGAAAAGCAGCATTGAACAGGTCTCTGATGCACAGAAAAGGCAGAAAAAAAAGATTCATCATTCGTGAGTAAACATAAAAGTATGTCTCTTTTACAGAAAAAGGAATCAGTGAAAGTGTATATTGATGGGATCGTGGATGAATGCCATTTTACAGCTGGGGCTTGATTCAAATTCCTTATGACTTCTACTGAAAAGCATCTATGGGAAAGTATTTAGCCATTGTGGTTTATCACAGTTGTTAAAGATTAAACAACCCAGGCATGAAAAAAAGAACAGCTACGAAGTGGAGGAAGTGGAGGTTAAAAAGTAGACATGTCAGTTAATGTGTACCTGGCAAGAGGAATATAAGTCTGAGCCAGAGACCAGCATGATCGCAGTGCCGGGGAGGAGGACTCTTTGAGCAGGACCACGCTCAAACGCCTCAGCCACTCCAGCCAGTCATCTTTGGACACCTTCCTAGCGGCACCCCAGGCCTGTAAAAAAGCACAATTGTGGATTTCAGAACGCACTGGGAACTGTGTGGGAGCATCCGATTTTCCAGCTCTGAGAATATTGAAACCATCAGCGCCACATTTAGACCCATCCCCGTGACCCCGCGTGCTTAAAAAGTCAGCGCCTGCGAGCCATCGGCTTCCGCTGCTCGTCTCTGATGAGGTTTTCATTTTCATTCATCGCTGATTTGTTGATTCATACCTCTTCAGCTGAAATAAACTGTGGGCTTGTATTCAGGGCTGTTTACTGGGTGCAAAATCAACACCAGCAAAGACTCCAGTAAGCAAACACGGTGCTTGTATGTGCAATCTTTCACCACAGAAGACTAAATAGGGTTGCATTGTTTCAGGGGAAGGAAAGTGTGCCATCCTACCTTCTGGAGTGCAGTAGTGCTAACATGGAGCTTCTTCATCGGCCCCGGCTCCACCGGACCACTGACCAGAGTGTCACCTTGATTGCCCCGAATCTGTCTGTGCTGGAAGATTAAAGGGTCCTCTTCCTCCTCTGCCAGAGTGTAGCCCTGTCATAACGACAAACACACGCAGGCATGACCGACACAGGCCACACACAAACAGCCCACACGCATTCAAACAGCTGATCAAAGCTTCGCAGCATGTTTTATGAATGAAAGTAGAAGGACATTTCCTCCCACCGGGGCTGCTGATAAACACGTAGCATGTTTATTTCATGATAATGTCATCCATTTTTTAAGTCATGCGGATGCATTTCATGTTACAGGGAAGAGAAATATCCAAACCAGATGAGACAGGAAAAGTCCCTGAGAGTTACTTACTTTCACAATGCGACATATCAGAATGTCATAGCGCTGGTGATTGATCCTGTGCTTCAGCATTACTTTGTTCACCATGGGGATGAAAATCTGGTACTGGAAACAAGAAAGAGTAAACAAAGCTCATCGTGTATCTCATGTGGTTCAGTCTGCAGCCAATCTTTGCCTTAGCCACAAAATAAATGAGCAACAGGCATTTAACCTGGGATCAAAGGCTTTCCCTGCATGTTGGCTGTCATACTTTGCTGAACGCAGAGCTGGCGGCTTAACACAATAAGAACTAAAAGGCTCGGGAGGCTAAATGTGACCTCACCAACTCCTATAAACATCAACCCCCCCAACGAGTTGGGAAGCCGTCGGTGACATAAGCAGTCTGGCAGGAAGCAATATAGACTGAGTGTTGGTATGAGCCAGGAAGGTCACCTCCGTTATAGCTAGGGGACTAATGTGGCTACCTTCTTTCCCAGCTGGAACACCAGCGAGGACAGCGTGTCCATGGCCGTGGAACGCAGCTCAGGCGTGCTGTCAAGCGTGCGAACGATCGGGTGGATAATGCGTGAGGCGTAGTCGGTAAAGTCCAAGGACTCTGTCAGCCGGTCGAGCGTTTCCAAGGCGACCCTGATCCGCACAGGAAACAGGTAACATAAAATAAATATAATCCTTAACATAAAATAACAGACACATGTGAAAACATTCAGACAGTGACCCACATCCAGCGTTTTACGTCCTTTACTGTCAGAAAAAATAAAAAACTTTAGGCTGGAGATTTGATACTCCTGCTTTAATACAACAAAGAAGCTGAACAGCATCCCCAAGCCATAACACCTTCACTTCTATGCTTCACAAGTCATAGGACTCTGTTTCCCTAGAAGGCTGTGATTGGTTTACACCAACCACTTCATCTGTTCTATCTAAATATTTCCATTTTAGGCTCTTCAGTCCAAATGACTGATTCCCTCTTCATCCAATAAAGGTTCAACTTAGGGCGTCCCTTTCTGATTGGATAACGATTCATTTTTACCTTATAGAGAAAAACACACACATCTTTAAATCTCTATGCATCACCATAGACTGCTCCGATGTTCCTTCTGAAGACCTCTGAGCTCAGCAACATTTTCTCTCTCTGAGCTCAGCAACATATTCTCTCTCACTTCAAAGTTATTATTCACCAGAAAATGAAACACTAGGGATTTTAAAAGTTCTTTACTTCTGCTTTTTCTTCCCACCTGTAAACATAACTAAATTCCAAACAAGCTTTCTTTTCAATAGTAGCAGATTACAGTTCTTTTTGCTGTCTTCATGTACAACGATGTAAACTTCTACCACTGCGTTCCTGCGGGGTAACTGAGGTTCTAATATCTGCAGTTAAGTCCTGGCTAAAAGCCAAGTCGACCAGCATGTGAGGTACTGACTTGCGAGCTTGGAGCGGCACATCAGAGGCATCAAAGAGCTTCACGATTGGCGGCAGCAACAAGTGGAGGTAGTCATCCAGGTTCGCCCCAAACAGCTGGATGGCATTCAGCAGCTGGAAGAGAAATACACAAAACTTTAACCTCTTGACGCCTACTGTTACAAATATGCATCAAACTGTTTAAACATTGCAAATAGCAAATTTCTTCCAGTATACGAGTTATTATAGATTCAGTGTGGACCTTAGAACCTTTAGCTAGCTCTTGGCAGGGCTGGTCCTTAAAGGTTTACATTATCTGTGACTTTTATAGCTATTGTTACAAACTAACATTAAACCTAAGGCCCCGCCCACACAGAGATGATCAGTCTGTAGCCACAAAGGTAATTGCTTTGTAATTTTTCATTTTTTATTTTTTTTAAATGACGTCATAGCTTCCGACCCCTGTTTACCTCACATATGCAGCCTGCGCATGCCTAGTGATTTTTGTCAGCAGTTTGGGTGTAATTCTGTCACAGCGCCACCAAGGGGCCTGGCATTCAAAATGGCCCTTCACAGTCAAACACCAGCCGAATGGCAGCCTTCTTCCCTGCAACTCCCAGCAAAATCCCCACCAACTTCTAACCACTGGAGAGACTCCATCTTGCCTATTTTTTACTCCGACTCCACCCTTTCACTGAATTACAGGGTGTGACCATAAGGCGCTAGGTGCTTCACTTTAGATCTGCATGTCCACAAATCATGACAGAAAAAATACTTTAGTACAAAAACTGATGTTTAAAAAGGAATTGTAGGGAACCAGACAAGGGCCTATCAAGGAAAGTGGGAACATTTTGAATGGCTACTACTGTAGTTACCAAAGAAATCATAATTTTTATCATTATCACCATCGTGATAAGAATTAATGTGTATGTCACCCAGCTCTACACACAACCAATCTAAACATGCAGAGGGAGATGCAATAGTTAGGTCTAGGGCTGCAACAACGAATCGATAAAAATTGACTTTTAAAAGCGTTGGCAAAGAATTTCATCATCGATTAGTTGTGTCGCGCGATTAATGGGCCATCCGCCGCCGCCGTCATCACATCCACTTGACTGAAACGGGGGAAGAAAAAAAATATATGGCAGCGCTGCTGGTGCAGTGGTGCCAACTGAGCGACTTTGTCGCTATA